TGAAGCCACCCACACCTTGTACCAGGCTTCATCCGAACAGATATCAAAGAACCTCGGCAAGTTCTCGTGTCTAACACCAGCAACCTGTAACTCCATTGCACTCAGGTTACGTCTATCAACCTTCACTAAAACACCTCCCAGGCTCTGCACTATATACTCAAGAACAGGGTCCCGCCATAGGTGAAATGGAAGGCCTAATAGCTTCAGCCAAACACACCCATCTTGAACATCGACTTCATTGCAGATTGGGCTCCAGTTCTCAACCTGTATCACACCTCCATCCACCACAACTGCTTTGAAGCTTAGTTCCTGGTTGCCTACATCAAGCAAGGCTTTCATCTCCGCAAAAGGGAACAGCATTGCTTCATTCCCAGCACCTATCTCTCCTGCAACTGTACTCAGAACCTTCTTCCAAACTGTCACCCCTTTATCAGCCACTAACACCATTCTTTTCTTCCATTCCTCCTTCCCCACTCCTACCAATATTCTTCGATGAATAGAAGAGCAAGCAACCACCATTTCAGGACTCAAATGGCCTTGCACTTCTACACTCCCAGAGGTACCAATCGATGCTGCCTCCTCCTGAGTTTTTTGACTCTGGTCTTCAAGCTTTTGGCCAGTTGCCTTCCCTCCATCCACTCCCTTCTCTTCCGAAGCTACAAGGTAAGACTGCAGCACCTGCACAAAAGCCATCCACCCTTTCTGCAATCTCCCTTCTGGCACACAAAGCATTTGTTTCCCATTTGTTCCAAAAAACTCCACCACAGAGACGAACCACCCCTTCTTGTTTCTATTCAGTTCTGTTACATATCTCTTGCCTGGAACTGACATGGAGTTTGTCCAACCATTCACCTTACCCGAGTTGATAGCCCCATCTATGAAACCATTCATCCATGCTATAACCTCCTTTGACAAACACTGTCGCCCTGTTATTCTCTCTGGTTTTCAGTACAACCTTGCCTTTGGTCCTTTCCTCTTCGAACTTGAACGTCTTAGCTTCGATCGACACCTCAGACCTCCATCTTCCTACTGCTCTGAAACCTCTCTCGCCCTCCATCTTCCCCAGCACAGAACTCATGTGTGAAGCCTGTCAGTCCTCGTCGACTAAACCATCGACTAAATCATAATTTTTTTTTATGATTTTCCCTTCTATTTTCTCTAACTGTTCTATGTCTCTGTGGTGAGTAGTTCTCACCAACCAGATCCTCGAAAATGGATGAAAGAGTGAAAAAGACGGGAAATGGGATACTTGGTAGAACAATACCTGACACCCTTTATTTTAGCAACAAAAATGTTAAGATCATGAGCAATAAAGCATCTATATCAATGGGTTCAGTCATATCAATACGGAAAGTGGTACCTGGTAGAGAAGGATATGCCCCCGGAGATTCTAATGATGTTGGTTGTACAGCTTCGAGTTGCTCTATTAATTTTGAACTTGGTTGACCCTTTCGACGAAGAAAGACACAGAATGGAGGAGGATTAGGAAGTGGAAGTTGAACTTGTACGTGTTTCTCCTCAACCCTACTCTCCCCCTAGGGAGAAATAGGAAAAAATGAGTCACTTTCAAAGGACACATCCATGGATGCGCAATATTTTCTAGAGACAAGATCAAGGCACCAATAACCCTTGTGAGAAGAAGGGTAACCCAAGAAAACACATGGAATAGCACGAGGGTCTAGTTTACCGTGTGAGGGAGATAAGCCATGAACAAATCCAGGCCAGCCCATGCAGAACCTAAAATGGCATTTAAATTTAACTTTTTCAATCTTATGACAGATTCCCATGCCAACTCAGAAACCCCAGAATGCCGCTTAAACCAGTTTGTAGTCGATTGCCAAGGAGGGCGGCCAAGTAAACGAGCTTAGTGCGGAAACACGTAGACCTCGAACTGGTGCAGACTCAGCTGGAAGAAGGGCGGTACAACAGTTGCAGCAGCAAGTTCTTCCACGATCTGCTACTTCTGTTCAGTAACGCCAACGTCTTCTTCACCAATAACTCCCCAGAATTTGAAGCTGCCATTGCATTAAGAGAGCTCACCACTAAAGAGATGGTGAGCAGAAACACTAGAAAACCAGATAGATCAGCTGATGAACCAAAGGAGTTGAAGAGTTCAGTGTAAATGGTTCAAACAATAACAAAGGAGTTGAACAAAAGAAAAGCAGTGGAAAGAGTGATGGATGGAAAGATCAGGCTTCCCAACAGGGTCTGGCAGAAAATATGCTACAGAACAGAGGAATCCAGTGAAAAGAAGTGTTGGACGTCCACCTAAAAGGGTAATGAGACAAACATCTCTGCCTCCTTCCGTATCGTCGAAGAGGGCGAGAGAAACGGTAGAAACGGAAGTGGTTACAGCAGAGGGAGAGCGGGAGAGCGAAAGCAAAAGAGGAGTTCTGAGTTTGGGAGGAAGAAAGTTGCAGGAAGAGGAGAGTTGAGAGTGGGAGAGACAACGAAAGAGGAGGGAGAGCAGGAGAAATCTAAACAGTGGGCCCCATCAGGGCCATTTTAGTCTTCACAGGTTAATTAGTAACTTTGAAATTAAAAAAATAAGGGAAATCTGAGTTGGTGTGGGAATCTGTCTTAAGATTGAAAAAGATGAATTTAAATGCGATTTTGGGTTCTGTATGGGCTGGCCTGGATTTCAGAATTCTGAAATGTGCTTATCCGTACTTTTCCCTAAAATTTTTCCTTACTTGTGGCAACATAGAAACTAAAAGCCATAACATCACTATACTGTTTGCTTGGTTCCACTTACCATGTTCTGCATTACCAGACCTCAGCTCCTTAAAAATGTATCCTATCTTCCCTCTTGTGGTTATGTTAAGTACAATCCCTTTGGACCACTCTAGGTAGTTAAATCCATCTAGAGGAATAACAGCCATAGGAAAATTCAGATCAAACCCCCCACTCATTCCACCATGAGTAGCAGACACACCAAGTGGCCAAATCCTTAGACGGCATGGTGTTACTCAGCCACACAGGAAACAATAGAATAAGAGGTAACAAGCACCAGACTTCTCAATCAAACACAAACAACACCACAATATGGTATTCCCTGCGGTGCATAAATAACTTCAGGCACTGGAACACTGCTGGAGCAGATGGAGGTTCAAAACATAATGCGAAACAGATCAGGTTGGGCCTGGACAGGAATAGTACATATAATAGCTGTTACTGCTGGTACAGCTCATTCCAGACCTACAAAAGCACTCACCTGAATGCACAAGGATCACACAATCCACATAGAGGACGAAAACACACTTCCAACACCTTCACAGCATGCTGTCACAACTTCTCAGGCTCTATCTTGGCACATGGCCAAGAGAAAAAAAAAAATATTTCGATCCCCTCAGAACCAGTTGATGTTAATATCTTGTATTTAGTCTGGAAGAGAGTAGTAGGAAGGCAAGGATTCCTTGATCAAACTGCTTACGGACCAAAGACTCCCGCTCTGATACCATGTTTTTCTGGAGAAATGGAAGGAGAGAGAGAGAAGAGAGGAAGAGAGAAAATAAAAGTTTGGGTCAAAAACGGTAGGCTGGTGGCACCAGAACTTCTATTTATATTACGGTGTCCCAACAACTTAAAATAAAAAGAGTACAAAGACAAAAAGGCCCCTGCAGATTAAGTATAAGAACCGTTAACAGACACTATATATATGTCATACAAAACAACCAAATGAGACACTACCTTGCCAAAAAAGGATTATGTTTCCTGAGAAGGCAACATTTGGTAGATCAAATGTCTTGTAAGAAAGTTAGCAAGGAGAATACAATTACATGAAGGATAACAATTATACCTTAGATGAAATGTAGAAAGAAGACAAGCGAAGGGAATCTCCCAAAGTCAATGATATATATGCGAACATCACAAGATAGCTTATCTGATTCAAAGGTAAAAAATACGGGATGTTAAGACTAATACAGCATAATAACAAAAGTGCAGTATCATTAAAAAGTTGAAGAGCTCACCAAAATGGTTATGGCATCTGCAGTACTTTCTCTTTTCAGTTCTTCCTCAATAGAGCTTTCCGATGAAAAGGCAAGTGTGAGATTCTTAGATTGTACCATAGGCAACAGCACTTCCTGTTACACAAAACTGGATCAAATTCTAACTCAAAAATAACAAAAGAATAGTAAATTGTTAAGCAATCAATTAGGAATATGTGACAAAAGAGATCCGATTACTAATAAGTTCATAATAATTGGACATGCTATGGATTCTTCCTCTTTGAAGATGGATATGGTGAGTTTTTTATCCCTCCAATAAATCACTAGTTTATTATACACACCACAAATCTGGACTCCACTATTTGTGCAAGTCCAATAATATGGTACATCTGGAAATTATTCATTTAGTCTGATCAGGCACCCAAGACTCTTGGATGATGTTAACCACTAACACCTACCAAGCCGGTTCATATGGAAGGAGTTGCAGCATGGACCTACAAAAGTTTGTTGGAGCATGTGAGAGGAAAAAGTTCTGAAATCAGAGCTTACCCCTTGAGTAGAAGCCACCAAATGGAAAGAACCATGAGGTGCTGATGCTAGAACTATTAGATGTTTCACCCTGGAATTGGATGGTATTTCGGTCAAATACTGTTGAGAACTAAATTAAGATGTTCATCCTAGAAGCCAAATCAGACGTCATATCAGAGAAATAATGCAATTGCCTAATTCTATTTCAAAAGCAGATTCTATCCAACTGCGTTGATTGGGTATTCTCCCACTTGCTGATAGAATCTTTGAGAATTAAGCAGCTGAGAGGGTTGTGTCAAGATGAAGGCTCTAGCCACATTGACAATGTGGACATAAGCTCTTGGCAGCCTCAATCCTAAAGATGGGACTGAGAGATCCTCTAAGTGCTAAAAAAAAAGTTCCAATCAATGTTGTCAAAATATTATGATTTTATGATATGATTCACAATTTGAATCATGAATCCTAAGGGTTTTTACTTGAATCTTATGTCTGAATCCTTTTCTGTGAAAATCCTATGATTTTTGTCTGAATCTTACAATTTGATTCATGAATCATATTATTTATATGATTCAGGCAATTCAAATCAATTCAACTATGAATTAAATTCTTTACTTTATCATTTGTTTGTTTCTATTAAGTTTTGTCAAGGGAGACTTGTTTTGAATCCCTTACTATAAAATGGTTTATTTCAGTAATTTAACACCTTTTAGAAATGATATTTAGTTTATTTTCCATCATATTTAGGTTAAAGAGCCATTGTATGTGGATTATGCGACTTTCAAGTTAGACTTGATTATATCACCTCAGGTTTCTAGCACACCAAAATAAAATACCCTATAAGCAATAGAACAGAATAAATATATATAATAATCACACAAGAACCTTAGTCATCATTATTATAAAGAAATAATTTCACAGAACTAAATTACAGAATATATCAATAGCAAACCTTTGCCAACTGAACAAAAGCTTTTTCCCAAGCTACTGCTTTTCCATTCTCAGTGCCTGATTTATCAATCTTATTGTTTACTGGATAAGTTACCACAAATGCAGAAGCCTGTCACATAAAACATCACTATAGGATTACAATATACTCAAACCATCTCAACAACATATCAGAATATATTACTTATATAAATTATATTACCTCTGAATAATTGTTTCCAGAAAATCCCCCTAATGCTGTGCTTGGATCAAGTGGAGCCTTGAATGCACTCATACATGTATCTGCAGAGGTATAATGCTGGAAAAGGAAAAAGTAAAGCCACAAAAGTAAGAGCACAGATGGGTCAACCAGGTAGGGCAAAATTTTACACAAGCTAACAGTGAGAAAAATGTCTGCAAAAATAACTTGATATTAAAGTATGAAATTAATGCTCAGAAAAATACAGGCATGAAATCATGGGAAACAAAATGGTCAACAAAAAGAGTATTCTTTTCTCTTAATGTGTTTTTTAGTTTTTTATTGGATAGAAAGTGCATTTTTATCTTACTTTAACATGTAATCACACTGGAACAGTGTTCCACCCAAAACTTATTCACCTATAAATTGCTTTATTTTTCTCTTCATTTTTTAGCAATATGGATAGCTTTCAGTCTATAATTTGTTTTTGGGAGGACTGTTTGTCCCCTCCATGTGTATTTCTGTACTTTTCCCTTCTCTTTGAAAAAAAAAAAGAAATTTTGAGCACGCTGTTGGTTCAATAGATTGAGGTATGATACCTATCAACCCTAAACTGATTCTAGCAGTTCTTATCTCTTTTCCCTTTAATTTTCTCTTACTAATGCTCGAGTTATTGATATTTTATTGATTGAACCTTTCTGTTGAATCCATCAACAACATTTTTTATTAGAATTTTTTTTGCAATGAAAAAAAAATCATTTACTTTAAAGTACATATTATAAAGAGGGGAAATGCACAATAAAATATACAAAGCAACAAAGTTGCAATTAAAATATACCTGAAAGCAATACTCGACATGATCAACTCCCCCATAATCATCATACTTATCAGGATCCATTTTGAAATACTGTGAAGGGAAAAGCAATCAATGCAATTTTTTTGAAACAATTGAATGATACCATAAAAATTCCAAGTATATATGCAAAGGTAAAAACTCTAAGATAATATCAGTAGGATGCTGAACAGGGAAGGAAATGTGTTGTTCTCAACCACATGCATAATAAATGTCTCAAATAAATAACATGTGAATGGTAACCAATTATGAAGCAACCAAATCTTCAGGAGAAACATGTATGATTACTAATAATAGTGCAATTAGCAACTTAGCATGCAGATAAGCAGGTATAAAATCCCATATCACACTAACGATAAAAAAATGATCATACAAGAGACAGTCTAATATGCAAATAACATGGTCCAATCAAAAATGTAAAAAATAAAAGAAAATAATTAGAAGGCCATAACATTATGTTTTCATTTAACAGAAATTGGTTGTTAACCAGTTCAGTTTTGTGACAGAACACCATGGTCTCAATTAATAGGAAGAAAGTCAGAAAACTAAACAAAGGATCTGGGATGGTAGAAGTGATAAGAAAAGGCAAACAAAGACAAGACCATAGATGGTGAAACTCACTAGGCACAAAGCTGTCTGAAGCTGAGGCATCTCCAATTCTGGTTAGAGTTTGTATTTTAGGCCATTTTCTTTTGCCTGGTCTGTGTGGAGTTATATCTTTTCTTGGGTAAGTGTAGCTAGGTCGATTTGATGTCGTCTCATTTAAGATTATCAGGGATTCTTTTTTTTTTTTTTTTGGGGGGGGGGGTAGTTTGGACTTGGATGTTTTTGGGCTTTTTGGCATATAACTAGATAAAATCAGTGTTCTCAAAGCATCAATCAATCAGGATTAGGCACTTGGGACCCCTTCAGACTAGGCTAACTGTTTCAAAGTTTCACCTAGGCATCAACTATTCAATTTTTTATCCAAGGGTGACTAATACAACTAGTCAGATTGGTTAAAGTAAGGCACAAGTATCCACATACATCAATAGCCAAAAGCCATGAAGTCCATAAAAATGAATACATGACCATGTGATTGCAGAAAGAGCATCAGAATGATCAGTCATCATGAAGCTCAACCTGCCATATTTGAAAGAGAGGGACAACCCTCCAAGTTGGGCTAGTTAATCAATCAGTGTGAAATCCATAAGTATGGCCATCTACAGCAAATTCTTTCTAATATATACTAGTTGATGGATCCAGAACAAGTTAACCTGTAAACTTGGGTGGATATGCCAATATAGCACTATATCTCAATGCCACTTTAAGGGGTCTCAGCATTAAGTTCCACATGTCCAATTAAATTGTATAAAAATGGTAATATATTCTATCCTTTTCTCTTACTACAAGCTCAAGCAGTACCATACAACCTAGATGCCCATCATATCCTTAACCAAAGAATAGAGAACAGTACACTACTGATCTCTTGTATGCCAAATCAATGGCACAAGTGAAGAGATGACCTATTATATGTAGACCACATCATATGCTTAAGAAGAATTGTAATACCTGCAGAACACTTTGAGTAGCACACTCCTGACCAAGTGGCTTCAAACATATGTCAGATAGGGAAACACTTGAGCCAGAATAGTTCGCGCGAATTCCATCAACCTGTTAATTTGTGGGAATGAAAGGTAAATTTCTTGATATGTTAATATTAGATTAATTAACAGTAAGTAATAGTTGAAGAAAATTTGAATCATGAGACAAGATGGTCTGCTAGTAGGGGTTTGCATTGAGAGAAGGGAATTTCAGATGAATGTATGAGGAAATTGAGATGTTTTAATTTTTAAAACCTTAAATTCTACCATTTAGGTTTGTTGACTGGAATTAATCCACTATTGATAGCATACAAAAGATCCAATGGTTAAAAGGGCCGCTTAAAGGTTAGCAAGTTGGGGGAAAAGGGTACCTTTCACAAGGAGGTCTTCTAACTTTATTAAAAAAAATGTACTAACAAGATCTTTGATTTCCTTCATGTCATTGTTGAGAATTCTTACTTCCATGGACAAAAAGAAAGAAATATAAGGCATTTAGGGGTATTTTCTGTGGATGGGAAGAAGAATAGGAGAGAGAAATTGAAGTTGAGTGTGTATCCAAAAACACTTTGTGAATTCATAGCCCATTTTAAAAACAAAATTATGCAGGTATATATAAAGTCATAATGAAGGGGGTTAGTGTCTTGGGAGTTGTAATTAAACTAGGTATGCAAACCAAGACAAATTTTGTTTATTGATGCAAACTTGGTGAGTGCCGAAGGTTAGGACCGTATCCAGTTTACCCCTCCCAAGACCCCAGATAACTAGGACCAATGTGGAGTTGGTGAGCTTTGCAAGTTACATCAAAGATTGCTCAAAAGATACCATAGGGTGTATGACAAACCATAGCTTCAAGGATGGTGTCTCATGTTCAGGTACTCTATGCTTGAAAGAGAAGCTAATGAATGTCTCATTTTTCTAAAACTTTGGAGGAATCTCATTGGAACTGAAGAATAAGTCTACGTTGCAAGCATTGGATCCAAAGGGCTTATTTTCTGCTAGCTCATTCCATAATTCTTTGATTAAACATTCCATGGAATTTTTTCCATTTGAAAGGATTTAGCACAATCCAGCTTCTCCAAGGTAAAGGCTTTTCTCCAAATCATTCCACTTGATAAAGGTCCTGTGGTTGGTGAGTTCAAGGAGAGGAGCTTATATTTAGCAAATTGCAAACAGAATAAGATTGAACAACAAAATCTGCTTTATGATCTAGGACCTCTACACACAATACATAATTCTGACTGAGCACAGAATCCTTCTTCCTGTAGAGAACATTGATGTGGGCCCCACAGCTACAGTCCCACTGTGTTCGTAGGGTAGAAGATGTTCTAGTCTTCCTAGGGTTAGCTATTGGTCATTTAGTTGTTTCAGTTGTTATTTGTTTGGGTCTTAKTTTTGCTCTATTTGTTATGTAAAGACTAAGGGCAGATCTGTCCTTTCCATGTAATGAGCATAACCTATAAATATTAATTAAAGTGGCGGCGGCAGAACATTAAGCTTCTG